TATTTGTCTTATGACTTTTGTGAGTTGTGACTATGCCATGTTGTCATGTAATGGTTTTTGTGATTTCTGTCGTTGCATAATGGGTGACTTTTGGGCAGCTTTCAATATTTATTAGTTTTAATAATTCAATTTCAAATTTCAAACTCATTATTATGAGTTTCTAGACTCAAGCAGGTCCTTACTTTCATCATCTCGCAATCTCAATCTGCCTTTATCAAAGACAGGTTAATTCTGGATGGTGTGCTAGTAGCCCATGAGTGCATCCACTCTAGGCGCCTATCTAAGAAACCAGGATTGATTTTCAAAATCGATTGGGAAAAAGCATATGATCATGTCGACTGGTCTTTGCTAGATGAGATGATGGCGAGAATGAATTTTGGACCTCAATGGAGAAAATGGATACATGGCTGTATCTCCAATCCCCATTTCTCGGTCCTTATTAATGGAAGTCCCAAAGGATTATTTGCTGCTTCGAGAGGGCTCTGTCAAGGGGACCCGCTCTCTCCCTTTCTCTTTACAATAGTTGCTGAAATTTTTAGCAGGTCTTATCTCTCGTCTCTACCAGGAAGGTCTACTCTTGGCTTTCCACTGAAGTTCACACGGACCTTTGGTATCACATCTGCAAAACGCAGATGATACCTTAGTTTTCTTAGATGCGGACTCTCAACGAATAGAGAACCTCAGACTTTTCCTCAAATGCTTTGAAACTGTCACTGGCTTCAAAGTAAATATGGAAAAATCAAAGATGATGGGAGTGGGGCTTACATCCCAAGAAGTCAAAGCCATGGTTCCTTCTTGGAATTGTATTGTTGAGGATCTCTCAACCACCTATTTGGGAATACCTCTAGGATTAGGGAAACCCAAAAAGAGACACTGGACCCAAGTGATCGATCGAGTTGACAGGCGCCTCGCTGGCTGAAAAGGAAGGTTCTTATCTCTGGCCGGTCACTCTACTTTGGTTAAGGCTACGCTGGCTAACTCCCCCATTTACCTAATGTCCATCTTCCATATGCCAGCCTCTGTGGCCAAAAGGTTGGACCAACTCATGAGGAATTTTCTATGGTCTGGCCAAGCTGAAAAAACGAGATATCACCTAATATCTTGGGATAGAGTCAGACTGCCCAAAACCCAAGGTGGTCTAGGAATCAAAGACCTAAGAAAGCATAACTTGGCCTTGTTGGGGAAGTGGTGGTGGAGATTAGTCACTCAACCAAACTCTTTCTAGGCACAGGTTATTTGGAATAAATATAGAGTCGGGAGATCAGTAGCATCCTCCTTTGCTCAATTCAAGAAGGTGCTTCGATTCCATCCAAAACAAGGCAACAGAGTTCGCTTTTGGTCGGACCTGCGGATTGGACATTCTCCCCTGAGGGACCAATTTCCATCCCTTTTTCAAATTGCCTTCAACAAAGAGTCCACAATTGAAGATGATATGGTTTTAGCAGGGCGGCGTAGAACTTGGAATCCCATTTTTTGAAGGAATCTTAATGATGAGGAGACTTTAGGCCTCACCACCCTCTCGGCTGCTCTACATTCTGTTTTCTCACCTCCATCAGGGAATAACTCTTTGGTATGGACTCCAGGCCCCTCGGGTAAGTTCTCGGTAGCCTCTTTCTGTAAGTTACTTATCCAGCCTCCTACCTTCCCTCTAAATCCCACCTCCCCTCTTTACAAAGTCTGGAACACAATCACCCCTCCAAAAGTCCAGTCCTTTAATTGGATAGCTGGCTGTCAGCGGGCCCTCACACTGGACCAGCTTCAAAAAAGAGGTCAGCCACATCCAAACAGATGTGTAATGTGTCTACAAGAGGAGGAGTCCAATCCCCACCTCTTCCTTCACTGCAATATAGCTTTTGACCTTTGGACTCTGATCCTGAAGCTTTTCAATCTTGATTGGGTTCTCCCACCTTCGGTAAAAGATTTACTCCATCATTATTCAGGTGGTCCTTGGCCCTTAGCAGGAAGAACTTTGTGGAGGGCAACTATCGCTGCTACAGTTTGGGTTTTATGGCTTGAAAGGAATGAGAAGATCTTTCGAGGCCTTAGAAATGAAGTCTTTGGGCTGTTCCACAAGGTTACATCTCTGGTAGTTTTTTGGGCCTTCACCCATAGAGCCTTTAAAGGGATCCCTATGAGCTCTTTCCCCAGGCAATGGGACAACATTATTTGACTCCAGCCTAGAAAGCTACAGAGAGCCCACAACTGGATGCCCCCTCCAGAAAATGCTATAAAGTTAAATTTCGATGGCTGTTCATTGGGGAATCCGGGGCATTCAGGAGTAGGGGGAGTCTTTAGAGACCATAATTGCAAGGTTCTCATGACATTTTCTGAATATGTCGGCTATGGAGACTCACAACTTACTGAAGCATTGGCTCTTCTTATGGACCTGCAATTTTTTGACCCATCTTGGGTTCAATCCTTAGTGGTGGAAGGAGATGCTAAAAACATTTTATGTTGGGCAGCAGGCAGTATCGATTCTCCTTGGTACCTATCTAGGATTTTTGATGAGATTTACCACCTATGCAGGGATATCAACGTCTGCTGGAGGCATATGTGGCAGACGTCGAACGAATTCGCCAACCTTCTAGCTAAAGATGGGGCGAGGCGACGAACAGACATGGAAGACAATGAATGGTCCATCTCCTTTTTTGCACTGGTCTATAGAGGTCTCTAAGACTCAAAATTTCTTTCTTGACTTCTTGTAAAAGGGTGTTCCTAGAAGCCCATTTTTTGTACAGTCTCTCCAAAAGTATATAGTTTGCATAGGGGTTATGGCTTAATTTTTTACCGAGATACCTGTCTCCTTCAATCCTTTGTACTCCTTATTATAGTAATACAATGTTAACATTATCAAAATTTTTTTTTAACAGATGTGTCAAATAGACCTCAAAAATATTGTCCGCATGGGACAATTCACCATTAAGTTCATAATATTTCTAGTCCTCTTATCGGTCCATGTATCAGTCATTATGGTGATTCCACTCTTGCCCCATGTATCCCTGTGGGCCTTAATATACTCTTTTATGAGCTCCATGGCCTTCCTCAACTAAGGGCCCTTGTGCTCATGAGATGTAGGGCTTTTATACCTTGCCCAAGCTATCCATTGCCTCCAACATAGCTTCCAAGCTCTTCAAGCTAGCAGTATTTAATGGCTTACTTGCTTGATAATACTATCAAGCTGCAAATTCAGACAATTGATCCCCATCTTCCTTCTTAAGGTGGATCTTAATGGTAGTCTGAGCCCTTTCTCGAACTGCAGCCTTAGGATAATGGGGGGGAGTAAGAATCCATAGGCCCCTTTCTTTGAGGCCTCTTTTACCAAAACGACCTTGGCCTAGAATAGAGTCCCCTTCCTTGACATATTCATCTTCATCTTCTTCTCCTCCAAAAATATGTACTTGCTATATCTTCATATTTTTTCCTTGCCTCTTCTTTATTCTTTTGCCCCCATATAAATGATTGAATGTTCCTCTACTAACATCAGTGTGCACTTGAGCACACGGGACTACTTTCCTTCTAAGGTTGACCAAATGTTTCTTCAATTGATTAATGCTGATGTTGTACTCTTTTGTGCAAAACTACCAAAACCAATCTTGAATACATGTTCCATAAGTCTAGGGTGCAAGTATTAAATATAATAACTCATGCTAAAAGAGTGTTGATAATTTACAAAATGAATTCATAAAAGAAACTCCAATTTCACAAAAGGGGCAATAGAATTATTAATTTACAAATCTAATATATTGATCCAGTAAATTAAGTATTTACTGTTTAGTAATTTACAAAAGTCTAGTATGTTGTCTAATATGCAACAACTCAAACTCTACGTATTGAATCAATAAAGTAACCCACCCTAGAAAAATATTTAATCACCAAAAAACAATCGTAATTGCCTGTGTAAAAAGGTCACTATGCCACATTAAGTATTAAACAGAAATCATCCAAAAAATTAAAGAGGGGCAGTAGAATAGAAATAAAATAAGATTATTGGCCCATTTCATTCTTTGGACAATCAAAGGCCTAATAAAGTAGAAGAAGACCTAGCATGTTGGAGTTTGATGACGTTCTTTTAAGATTTGAGTTACCCATTCTTATTAAAATGTCTAGAAACTCAAAATATAAACCCGCACTTTTCAAAGCCAAAATGGAAAAATTGAAAAGCAAAAACAATAACCAAAGTGAGAAAAAAAAAAATAAAAAATCAAAACCCAGTAGTCATAAATATTACTAAACCTTGAACAAGAAATGAAATACACTAATATCTCATTACCAAATCAAATTTGGCTTGAATCAGTGACCTTTGGTTGTCGAAATAGTGACCTTTGGTTGTCGAAATACCTCTTTTTGCAAACACTTCAAGTCTTTCTGCAACACTTCTCTCTAACTTTTTGTCATTGAAAAGTTCAAATTTTTTTGTTGCTCAGAAAAATCTCAAAATATTGTTTTTGAGATTGCTTTTCAAGTATAAACCGATCACAAAAGGGCTTTGGAGTCTAATCCCCCTTCCCCTCTGTATTTGGCGAGGGGGATTATTCACTTCTGCCCCTGGCGGAGGTCCTTTTCCTGCCCTCAGCTAGCTGTTCATTGAACTACCTAAGCGGCCTTAGGTGGGTAGTACATATTCCAATGTGGCTAGTACATATTCCAATGTGGCTCTGCCTAGGCCCCGTTCTGTATGGAGTGAATTTTTGTTCACTGTGCACAAGTAAAATATGTAACTGCATACAAAAATTGTTTCAAAGTGATTTGAGGAATTTCATCTCTCCACTCAATTGATTGAGGTTTTTATTGTCATGTCCTTAGCCGTATCGCCGCATTAGGCCAATAATTCTTGGTGATTTACAATCTACTTCACTAGCACTTATTGGTGATTTAAAATCTACTTCACTAGCACTTCTTGGTGATGTCTGTCTCATAACTTGTATTGTTTTTAGTACTTTTAGTTTATGTGATGGAATACGCTGATAAATCTGTGCATTGTTGACTACTTGGTTTGTCAGGTAAAAGTGCAAACTTGGGTAAATAATAAGACAGGTAATGAGTTCGTAGGTGTTAGCGCGAGGTTTGGCACCCCTATGGAATCTAAGGAGAAACATGCCAACCAAACTCATCTTTCCTTATCAGACCCCCGTGATAGCTGTAGCACACCCAAGAATAAGGTTGTCTTATATGTCTGAGAGTTGTAAATTTTGCTCTGGATTATCATTTACAGTTTTGGAGAAGTATACTATAATCCAATGGACAATAAAAAATCATAGTCCATCGGGTCATCAAATGGACCCATCACCATTGGGTCATGTCTTGTTTTTTTGGGGCCCCAATCTCTCCCATGACCATTCCTTATCTCATGTATAGTGATGACCCAATGGACTAATTACTTTTTGATAATGGATGGGCTATTTTTTATGGCCTATGATCTTCTTGTAGTCCATTGAATTACAGTCAACTTTCCCTTGCAGTTATTTTGCGTATAAGCTAAACAATTGGTGGATTGCTTTGTACTATTATTAGCTTACTGGAGATGCTGTCTTGGTACATCGTGGTAATTGCACATTTACAATGAAGGCAAAAGTTGCACAAGCTGCTGGTGCTGCAGCTATTCTTGTTGTGAACGATAAGGAAGGTATGTTATCATTACTGCGGTTATTTCTTGTTTAGGGCAACAAAGGAAATTTGTTATCATTACTGCAGTCATTCTTTTAGGGCACATTTGTTTCACGTGAAAACTTCCGTCATGTAGTTAGGTGTGGGAATATTTTCACACCAATTAGCTACCAATTGGTGTGAAAAGATGCACGGGGACCAATTGGTGTGAAAATATTCCCACACTTAACTACATAAGGAAATTCTTTCACGTGAAAATATTTCTCGGAAAATATTTTCACTCGAAACAAACATGCCCTTACATTATCCAGCTATATTCTTGTAAGTTGTCCAGCTATTTGTGATGTTAATGAATTTATAAGAAGATTGCTTTATGTTTAAATAAGGTAAAATGACATTGATGCTGTTGGTTAACTCAATGATATCTGTCGCTCAGTGTTCTACATCTTAAGAGTATGATATAAACTTTCAAATTATCTGAACCTTTTTTGTAATTTACTTTCTATATGATGAGAGCCTTTTTAAGAAATACTGGATAACCAAATAACTGATAGTGGTATTGGCCTTTGCTCAGTGCTCTCTCTCTCTCTCTCTCTCTCACACACACACACACACACACACACACACACACACACACACACACACACACAAATATACACACACACACATGGGTGCACATGCGCGCACACACACACAAGTTGCTCTCTTTCCCTTTTCTTTGATGTGCCTGCCTACTCTAATACTCAAGGAGAAATCAAATCTTTGTTGATTCTGCTTTTATATTTGTATGTGGGGGTACATTTCTCTACGTTTTTATTACAATTTAGAACCATAATGCTTCTTTTAGTTCAATTATTCACATTTCAGAAGATTTTCAGTTTGGGATGTTTATTATGAAAGAAGAGATATAGAACCCTTAATTGTTGATAAGTTTGACACTTTTGATTACAGTTTCTCAATATTTATCTTTTTCTTTTTTTTTGTTATTGTTATAAGTTTGTCCTTTTTTATATCCATTTTAAATCGACAAATCTAATATTGCATTAAAGCATTGATTTAAAAAAAATTGAAATCCATTTGCATCTCCATGCCTCCATCTGGGAATTTTTAAACTTGGAATGCTCTTCTAGTTTTTGTTTGTCTTGTGCAGAACTTTACAAGATGGTTTGTCAGGACAATGAAACAAATTTGCACATAAGTATTCCTGCTGTCATGCTGCCAAGCAAGGCAGGTTTAAGCTTGGAAAAGAGTTTAAGTTCTGGTGCATCAGGTTGGTCCTACCATACATAAATAATGTTCGCTATAATCTTAAGTGTTTTTGAAAGAATTTCTTTATGAGAAACTATAGAAGTGATCCCATTGGCTGTGGAAAACCATTACTGTCCAATGAAATGAAGGATGGTGATTGAGAGAAAGGGGATCGACTACAAGGGGGCATGATCCCAATGGTGGTTCAACCTCTTCATCACCATTCATGATTTCTCCTTCATGGTCTTCAACTCATTTCAATTGAAATATTGGAGCAAGTCATTTTTATATAATTTTATGGTTTATTTGTGTACCCTATTATCCAAATTACTGAAAAAGAAATGCCGCATGCACGACAGAAAATTCTTGCACTTTCTTAATTTTAGTGTATCATGTCTATTACTCTCTCTATCTCTTAACTATTATTTTAACTCTCAACTTATCAAAGGGCTTTTGCTGATGGATCACCTTATCTTTCAGTGACTGTACAGCTGTACTCTCCAGATCGTCCTGTGGTGGATACTGCAGAGGTTTTTCTTTGGCTTATGGCTGTGGGAACTATATTATGTGCATCTTATTGGTCTGGATGGAGTGCCAAGGAAGCAGCTATTGAGCATGATAAGCTCTTAAAGGTGTTCCTGAACTCTGCACCAATTTGATAGTTCAAATGTCTCCAAATATTCATTTTATTGGTAAATTTCACTGTAATTTAATGGAATAGAACAAAACCATCACACTTTGGGTTATCATTAAATTACAACAAAACCATCACACTTTGGGTCCCATTTAAACAACAGATGGTGGTGGAAAGAATATGGGGCCCACCAAAAGATGACATGGTCCTAAAGCATCAAAGTCCATTCAATTAACGGTGGGGATGACCCAATAGACCATATTCCATTGGATTATGGTGTGCAATTTTGCCATTTTTCTTCATGCAATGCTCTACTATGCTTAACAATAATTGGTGATATTATTGTAGGATGCTCCTGAAAGTCTCCATGACATGGATACTGCTGGTCCTAGTGGTGTAGTTGACATCAACACAACATCAGCAATCTTATTTGTTGTGATAGCATCATGCTTCCTCATCCTACTTTACAAGCTCATGTCATCATGGTTCTTGGAGCTTCTGGTGATTCTCTTTTGCATCGGTGGAGTTGAGGTGGGTCCCCTAAAATTTTCCTCTCCAAGATAATTAAATATTAGGAGTTATTTATTCTCCTGCAATTTTTGTGTGATTTTCTTTTTTTTTTAATTAAGAACTTTTATATAAAAAGGAAACTATAGCTACGTTTCCTGTGCTAGCTCATGGTTCAAAGACTTCTAGATTCCATACATGCCTTAGTCATCGTAGGTCAATGAATAAAAACTTGTGGGTCCGGCTTGGTCTCACCCAAGGCACTTGGGCCCCAGCAGGGTGCTGAGTCCATAAAGAATCATCACCCTGTTCAACATTCCTCGTCTTCCAGAGATTCTTCTGAATTTGCCTCCTCTTCCTCAATCTCCCTCCGTGAAGTACCAGCAGAAGAAGTTGCTCGAGTGGCCCTCCTAGGATCAGAAGCTTGCCTCGAAGCCTCCTCGACCATTTCCCATGTCAAACCCTCCCCAGGGAAGACCTTCTCAGTACCAGGGTCATTAACTAGCCAATCTGAAGCATTCTCCATGTCTTTCGAAGAGATAGGGTCTTTGGCTGGTTTTTCTTCTCCTTGAGCCTGTGATTCACTCTAACAAAAACCAAGTCATTGAGCTTCCTTTGCTCAGGCCTATTTCTTCTCTTTGTATGCACTTATAAAGAAAATAATGCATAAGTAACTACTATAGGTCTATGATCTTCTTACCTTTTATGAGTAATATTACAAATTGAATATGAACTTATAAACAAAAAAAACATATAAAAGTTTATTCCTTTAAAATAGTAAAATACCATCTCAAACGAACTCCAATTGTGCTCACAACCAGAAGAGGTAGTTCCAAACTCAAGATCCGCATAGCCATCTTCTGGAGGTTTGGAGCGCTACTCCCATGTTATCTCCACCATTGGGCTACAATATGTGAGCAACCTTTATAATTAATTTAGGTATTTATCATTATCAGAACTTGAAAGAAAATTATAAATTTATATTTTATAAAACAAAATTACATAAGTCAAAAGAATATTACCTGGTTCGCCTTTGTTTCTCTGCCTTAATGCCATATCTTTTCCAAATGACATCAAGAACACTTGTACGAAATTAGCTCTTCAGTTAATATCTTATCTTGGATATTTAGATCAAGAACTAATTTCTCAAGGCACTCATTAAAACCATCAATAATTACCCCTTTTGACTCAATATCTGCATCTGCATAAAAGAATTTAGGGTTTAAGTAGTACCCCGTTGCATGCAATGGTCTATGGAGCTGCCTATCCCATTTATCATCTATAATCTCCCAAATTGGGGCATACTTCGCTGCATCATTGCCCAAATTCTCTGCAATCTCATTCTTAGCCCTTTCCATTGCATCATATATAAAGCCCATGGAGGGCTTATCAGCATCAACCAAGCGCAAGACCTTACCAAGGGAAGAAATGCTAATATCGCATACTTCACCCCACGTCAAAAATATTTCGAAAGAATAATATCTCGGGTCTTCTTTTCCTTGGCATCTCTAGACTACTTACATCTACTCCACTTCTTTGAAGCAAACATAGACTAATGTGATCTTCCTCTTATACATGCTTTATAGACTAAGGTAGGCAGTGGCAAATCTAGTGACCCCAGGCCTCATTAGCTCTCTCTTTTTTGTAAACTTGTGCATCATGCTAAGGGTTAGTATGTGACTGTATATAAAGATTTTAACCTCTTTAGCCTTAAAAATAATTCTTTTAATAGGAGGCAATTCACCAATTGCCTCAAGCATAAGATCTATGCAATGTGCAGCGTAAGGAATCCAAAATATGCGAGGCCTCTTTTGTCTAAGCAAATGACTTGCAGCTAGATTGGGAGCAGCATTATCTGTGACCACTTGAATTTCATGTTCCTCTCCAACCTCCTCAATACCCTTATCAATGAAAGAAAATATACATTGGACATCATGAACATCATTGGAAGCATCGATTGAGCGCAAAAAAATTATACCCATGGGACAATTTACTAATAAATTCATGTTACTCCTCTTCCAATCACTCCACATATCTGTCATCAAAGAAACTCCAAATTTAGCCCATCCCTCCTTATGAGTCTTGAGATATTCATTAGTGTACTCGACTTCTTTCTTCAATAATGGCTTTCCAATCTTATAAGGAGTTGGAACTTTCAAACCTGGCCCAAATTGCCCAATTGCTTCCAACATTGTGGGGAAGCTATTCAAACGAGCAGTGTTAAAAGAAATGCATGTATGGTAAAACCACCGAGCAATATACTGAATCACCCTGGCTCTATCTTCCTTTTTAAACCTATTTTCAATTGTCACCTGTTTTGTCCCCTTTCCCTTGCCTTTCTCAATTACTGTCTCAGGACTAGGTATAAAAAAACTATCTATAGGCCCTCTCGTATGAGCCTTCTTAGACTCAAAAGCCCTCTTGGTCTTAGAGCTCTGAGTACCAACCATGGCTACCTCTTCTTCCTCCTCTTCATCATGCTCTCCTTGAGTTTCAATATTATCATAAAAAATATGAACCCCTGACTTTAATTATGCTATATCTTCTTTTTTTGCAACTTTTTTACTCTTTTCAGCTTCAATGTACTCCAAAATTTCTTTCTACAAAATCTGGGACTTTCTTACATGGGGCGGCATCACCTCTAATACCGGCAAGATGTTTCTTAAATCTATTTATGCCGTCATTAGAAACAGGTCCACAGAAATTGCACATAATTTTATTTTTGTCATTCTTATCCGGGTTAACACAATATTTCCATCCCGGATCTCCACCCCTAGTAGACCCCGCAGAAGACATCTCAAATTGAAAAAATAAATCTGAAATAAAGATTACAGACTGACCTTTGCTACCCAATCTCTTATCTTTGGTGTTGGTTATCTCAATCGAGCTACGAATCATCTTAAAAGTCTTCTAATACCACCAATAGCACCTTAAAAATAATTTCAATCAGAAAAACAAACTTTTTCAATCCACAAGAAGTACTTTCGATTCTCAGCAATTGCTTTAGATTCTCATAAATAAGTTTAAGATTGAGGGTTTCTTGTTTTTTTTCAGTTTGGGGTTGAAAAATAAACCCCCGAACTTCTTTTATACAAACTTGGGGGTCAAAATGACCCCCTTTGCCCTTTTGGGCAAAGTTTAAAAAAAAAAAATCATGAACTGTGCTGGGCGCCCGCCCAGGTATAGCCACCCGTGTTGGGGCGCCCAGGTCAAGGCATGCGGAAATTGTTTTTTGGGCGCCTAGGCACCGGGCGGTTCGTTTTTTTAAACATTGTGGGTTAATAATCTCATTTTGGATCCTCAACAATTTCCCTAGACAATGAGGTCTTTTTTTAGCTATCACATAATATTCAAAGAGTCGCCTTTAATTATAATAGTTTATATCATTTTATTTACTGTTCTAATCTCCAGTTAGCTATGAGTGTCTAACACGTAAATTTTGAAGAAAAGATGTGTGATATGCATTTATTTTTATGTATTTTGCTTAGTGTTCCAAAAAACACCGGGCGGCGCCTAGGCGGTCTAGGCCGCCCAACGCCTAGGCGCGCCTTGAACCTATGCGGCTCAGTAGAATAAAAAGTTGTTTCAAGGTTAGATTTTGTGTAAAAAATAAAAATACATATTGAGATTAGTCCATAATTCCACGCATTTCAAATTGAGACATTTAGAGATATTATAGTCCATAATCCAATATATAAAGATATAAAACTTAGCAAGACATTGATTCATCATCAAGAAAATGAAAAAGAATAGGAAATAACACATAAGAGTTAAAGGGTACATCAAATGTCTATAGTCCACATACACTCCTCCATACTCCATAAGTCCATATCCATAATTCACACACAATTAATACTCAAAAGTTTTCAATCATCACTCATCATCAGAAAAAGCAGGGTTAGCTGCATGTGCATCATATGCATCGGAGTTGAGGCCTTCATCATCACAGTCATTTTCCTCCTCAACATAATAGTAATCCTCCTCTGTCTCTTCTGAATCTGCCTCTACTTCATCCTCTTCCTCCTCCACTTCATCCTCTTCCTCCTCCACCCTCGTCCTCTGAGAAGAAGATCTAGTGGTCCTAGGAGCGTTAGTTGATGTCCCTGAGGCCTCCATGACCATATCCCATGTCATTCCTTCATGCCCGTCGACCTCATCATCATCAGCCAACCACTTTATAGCATTATCCGTATTTTTTTAGTTGAGGGGGTCTCTCTTATCTCTCTTAGCAAACCTCTCCTGCAAGTATCGATTATACTTAACATAGACTAGGCCATTGAGCCTCTTTGATTCAAGCATGTTCCTTTTCTTTGTATGAATCTAATAAATCTAATGAAACTAATTCATATAAATATATAATACTAAAAAACTAAAACTTTACAATTGACATAGTAATTAGTAATTACTAACTAACTAGTAACTACTAAAGTACTAATACAAATTAGTAAATTGTAATTTGTAAACTAATAAAGTAAACTAAATTATCATCTCAAAAGTACTCCAATTACGCTCACAGCCGGACGAGGTAGTGGTTAGGCTCAAGATATGAATGATCAACTTTTGTAAATTTGGAGCACTACACGCTTGTTGGCTCAATTGGCTGCAAATAGATTATGAATTGCAATTGTTAATTATATATGAAATATTAAAATATAGATTATGAAAAACAAACAACAAACATGAAATGAACCTTGAACTTAAGGAACTTAAGAATATTATTACCTGGATCAATTTTGGTCCTTTGCCTCACCGCCATTGGACTCCCAAAAGACTTTAATCCGTACTTGTAATTTATTAGCTCATCAACGCATATAATGTAATGGATATTCGGATTAGGGACTAACACATCGACACACTTATTAAATCCAATCATAATTGTGTCATTTTTGTGTATATCCCTATCAGCATAAAACAAAGTTGGGTTAAAAAAATTAAACAGTTGCATGCAATGACAAATGTAGTTACCAATTCCACTTCTCATCAATAATCTTCCGAACATGCTCATAGTGGCTTAACTCACATCATTTAAATTATGGGCTATCTCTCTCTTGCATCTCTCCATTACTTCATATATGTAGCCCATGGAGGGCTTGTCACTATCAACCATACGTAGGACTTTGACAAGAGGAAAAAATACCTTAAGAGCACCCTTCATCCCTCACTAAAAAGCCCTAGAAAAGATAATATATTTCACCTTCTTCCCTTTCTAATCCTCGGATCACTTGCATGCTCTCCACTCATCCGAGGTAAACATCTGCCTTAACTAGACTCTCTTCGAATGTATGCTATCTAGGCATAGGTACCAGGTAGCAAGTCTCGTGACCTCGAGCCTCAAAATCTATTTCTTCTTGTTAAATCCACGCATGATGCTGAGGGTGAGGGTGTGGCTGTAAATGAATGTTGTAACTGACTTTGCCTTCTTAACTGCACCTGAAATATCACTCTATCTACCGAGAGCCTCAAGCATGATGTCTATACAGTGTGTTGTGCATGGTGTCTAAAAGATACTAGGGTAAGCTATGCGCAACAAATTAGCAGCAACAACATTAAGAGTAGCATTATTTGTGACAACTTGTATAACATGCTGCGCCCCAACCCATAGTTGTTGGAGGCGGGAGTGGGATTGGGAGCGGGATCAGTTCAGAATTCGTCAAACCACCCTATAGTGGAAGCACCTTGGGGTTAGTATTAGTGTCCACAAAATGAACAAGATAAGGAGCGAGATCCTTAGGTTTATGGGAGCGTGATTCGATGTCAATGGGTTCAATGTTTTGACTATCTAAGCTCACTATACAAAAAAATGAGGTTGTAAGTAGAGCTAGTAGGAGTTTTTAAATGAAGTATATATTCTCACAACTAAAGGGGATGGCTTACACAATAGGACTTAATAAAACAATGGGTCACTCTAGACTATGCCTAGTTCAAATTAAGAATCTAAAATAATAGAACTTTGTGCTATGCGAAAAAGGGACTGGATTTTAACATTAGGGAAGTTATGATTCCTAAATAATAGCAACTTCGGACAATGGTAATCTTTAACCTGGTATCATCCGTTAATGAAAGTAGAAGCCACAAACTTGGATCCCAAGATTTTAATGTATCCAAACCTTGGACCATGGTTGATGGGGAGCAGGGATCTATTTTGAATTAGAACTGGATTCCACTGATGGGTGGAACGTGGTCCCCTTCTTTTGGGAGCGTGATCCTAAAATCGACAAAGGGATCCCTACAAGATCCCCCTTGCAGGAACCATGGGATCGAGGTTTTGGAGTGGGATCGTCACCCTACCCATAAGGTTCCCTTAACTATGCCCCAACTTCATTGATGCCCTTCTCCATCACTTGAAATATGTAATGGGCATCATGACTATAATCAAAGGCATCAATAGACCTTCAAAAAGCAGTTCTTAAAGGACAATTCACCAGCAACTTCATATGTCTTCTTCTCTTCTTATCACTCCAAGTATCAGTCGTAACATAAACCCCATACTAAGCCCATGCATCCGTCTGTGTCTCCACAATCTCCTTTGTGACAATCACTTCCTTTTTCAAGAGAGGCTCTGAAAGCTCAGATGGGGTTGGGAGCTTCATCCCAGGCCTAAATTGTCCAATTGCCTCTACCAAGGTGTAAAGGCTGCTTAGGCGAGCGGCATTGAAAGAAATGCCCGCCTCATAAAACCATCAAGCGATGTACTGTGGAGCTCAATCTCTCTCTTCCTTTTTGATTCTATACTCAAGAGTTATTTGCTTCTTTGTTTCCTCTCCTGCAACCTCAGGGTTAGGCCGAGACAAAAAACAATCCCCTCTAACCCAAGGACTCTTAGGTCTCCCACTCCCAGAACCAAATACAACTCCCTTTCCCTTCCGCTTAGTCTGGGATACAACAAGCTGTTCCACCTCTTCACACCTCTTGATCGCTATTATCATCATCAAAATTGACATGAACCCCATACCTCAGCTCTGTTATGGATGCCTCTCTCCTCTTTTTTCTTTTTTACAATACTGATATAATTTTTTTTATCTCCTCTCAAATAGCATCAAGAACTTTTTTACATTGGTCAACTTCCCCCCAAAAACCCGGCAAGATGTTTCTTAAACCGGTTTATGCCCCCATTTGTATCATTTTCACAATAATTGCATATTATACAATTTTTCTCCAAAAGCTTCGGGTTATAGCCATATTTCCAACCTGGATCACCACTTCTATTAGATCCCGAAGTAGACATCTTAAAATAATAAACGATTTTAAAAAATCAAAATTTTCGCTAACTTTGATTGCTATCCACTTTTGAGATGTTTTCTAATCTCAAAATCTTCTAAAAGACCCTCTATAATAGACCTATAAAACCTCAAAAACTAAATCTAATCCCAATGGGTGATGTTTAGATCGATTTCTTGTAACTTTGAGAAACCCTTTGAATATAGTTTGTTGAGGTTTCTCTCTCTCTAAAATGCGCTCCAATGAGTTTAGGTTTGAAATGAACCTAAATCCAACCTTTTCCCCTCTTATTGGTATAGAACACCCCAAAAAGGCTGCTCAACGAGGGGCACTTTCGCCCCTGGTGGGTACCCAAGCGCCTAGGCGGCCGACCTGGGGCAGGCTGCCTATTTTTACTGCCTAGACCTGGGCAAGGTGCCCATTGGACAGCCTAGTCGCCGGGCAG